GTTTTAATATTTGTTATTCAGGTCAATGCACAATATGTCTATTCGTCGTATCCCGAATAGATTAGCTTTTTATATAAAGTTGCGTTGTGGAACATATTTTTATGTGTTATATATTTCTAAAGAGGGCTAGTTTTCAAATGTATTTCAGTCATAGATTTCCGAAAGTATATTCACTGAACCCAAATCTATAGACGAAAATATAAAAAAAAAAGTCTGAGTTTTTTCCAGATTGTTTCAGTTCCTTTTATATTGTGGACGTGCATTACACCAATTTTTGAAATTTTTTTCTAAATTCATCAGGAAATGTTTGGGGCAATTTTCCTATGTTCATTTTTGTGACCGTAGTAGCAATTTCACAAAAGTTATGATGAAATGATAAAGTGTTCCATATAAGTAAAATTCATAAAAAACTATTGGAACTTGAGCGATTTTTTATTATTTTTTTAACCTTAAAAGTTCAAAAAAAACCGAGGCTATAGTTCTAGTATTGAATACCAATTCAACATCGAAATGATTTGATATCATATTTTCCTTTCCAATGGTAAGTGGTTTGCTACATTATATTGAATCGCAATCGTTGAATACCAGACGCAAACGAAAATATACAATGTGAGATAGGCAACAATTTATAACACACCAATTGTTAATGGTAACATTTATTGTAAATCATACTATTAAAGTATTTGTTACAATTTTCATTATGCAGCATATTAGCACTTAACGTCGTAACAATTTTAAATGCGACAAATATTAATTAAGTGTTAATTTTTTTTGAATAGACCAGTTGCTGCCCGTTGAAAAGAAAATACGAAGTTTGAGCTCAAATTTCAGACCGCTGTGTGTGATGGAATTAGATAGTGTGGTAAGTGAGAGGCATTTTTGAAGTGAAAAAAATTTGATATTGTATATATGTTTTTAGACAGTAACTCGTTGCGATCCTCATATCGGTTTGTTGCGTCATGGTATGGAGAAACTAATTGAGTGAAAGACGTGCATGCAAGCCCAACCCTAATTTGATCGTTTAGATTCTGTGTTAGTGAAGTTTAATGAACAATGTCATTCTTTGATCGTTGAAAAATTCTTTGATATCGAAGTTCCTTTGCGAGCCAAATATTTTCGAAGTGAACAAACAATATTTTGTACATTTGGTTTCTGTGAGAAAAGCTTATTTCGATGTAGCATTTTTTACGGAAGTTACGGGTATCTTAAATCACATAATGGCTGTCCGTAAGCATGTTTTAGACGTTGATGCTCTTACAACCGTATTCTGGTTATTCGAGGTGTTATGTAAGGCGTGACGTTGGTGTTGATGTTTCTTACACCCATTTTTTAAATATTCTTGTAAAATTCCTTATTGAATTCAGAGGACATGTCAATCGGTCTGACGAATGAGATCTACAGATTTGCTTCGAAATTTGCTGAACGTGTGTACGAAGTAGCAGGTATTCCCACAACAAATCGTAAATGAGTGAAACATACCGCGGATACTAGAGTCGTTTAGCTGAAGAAGCTCTAAACTAAAGCTTTATTGGTATAAAGCTTCAAGCTGCCGGAATTAAGTGGGATTTCTATAAACAACTGCCCAGTAATGTTTATGAACTACTTAAACATGATACTTCCTTTGGAACTAAATGTGTTACGACAGATCTTTCTTTGTGTCGTTTTGAAAAAATGCATCAGTCTCTGCGTGTTATTGAGCAACACCTAAACCAAATGCCAATAGGCGAAATCAAAACAGATGATACGAAGATTGCCGCATCATCGAGAGCGGAAATGAAAGTATTAATGGAAGCGTTTATTTTATTTTAAACTTTTTACCCAGAGCTTTCAGGTGCCACCTGAAGGTACATCGCCACCGAATCTCCTAAAGGAGAGCTTGGCGTCTATTTGGAGGCGGATAGTTCCAGTCGGATCTTGCGCTGCAAAATGAAAGCACTATGCTCATTTAGCAGCATTTAATCACGTTGGCATGCAGCGTATGCTGGCAGATGTTGTGTTCTTGAAGTGTATTCTTGAAGTTCTATTTGCTGAAATTTATCGCTCAGAAGCATACTACTCTTTTGATAAAATGCGTTAATAGTGATACTAATAAACACTAATACTTAATACTTATTTATCATTGTGCGCATAATATAAAAGTTTGATTTTGTTTTAATGATTTAAAAAAGATCAATCTACTTTATAAAAGTCAAAATCAATGTAAATCCTATTGCTAGAATTGAAGAAACTAAATTTATTATTATTAAAAAATTTCATTTTCTTATGTATATATCAATGTATTTACTTTTATAGCTATTTCTATTGTTACAGTTTTTCCTTAACGCATAATTACAGTTTTCCTACCCTATGATTGCGTATTGTATTGTGTAGTACTCTTTTAGAAAATAAAAATAAATTAGTCGTAAAGAGGTTTTACTCTCATGTTGTTCATTTATATTTGATAAGTTATGACTTAGTGTTTACTGCAATACACAATATAGAACCAAATTTTGGTATTCCAACGTGAGCTCGATAACAGTTGAAAGTATAACAGCTTACTGGATGTTTACATACAATTTTATATAGGTACAACGTGGATTTCCGAGGACTTTTAATGATCTTTACTATTTCTATAGTTAATAAATTTTTGGCAATATACGAATTATATGGTTGATATACGCATGTTTGCAAAAATTTTGATCACTCTTCATTTTGAATAGGCATTTGTTGTGGAAAATGGATTCTATATATATTAATTAAAATAGTTTCTATTATTTCCTATGTCGCAACAACTTATATCGGTTTGGCAGCGGTTCACTGACCAACCCCTTTTCGCACATCTTTAACTTTATGGATCCGCGTGCCAGCCAAATCATGCTGCACCGATCTGACCAAGTGGTAATCGGGAGACCATGTCTGCCAGCAGAGCTTTTGATTCCAGTTGCAATAGTGTATCCTGGATAACTCTTGTAACAAGTGGCCAAAAAGCATTTTCATATAATTCATGTCACCATTTCTAAACCATTCAGAAAATTGGATGTGATGGACAAACATTACCTCTCTGAACGTATTTAATGGACTTCTGAAGCAGGTGTCTTCGAATAAATAACACAAGTAATGAATTTACAAGCAGAAGAATTTTGAGCGCTCCATGATTAATGTCAGCGCTGTATAATATTAAATTATTAAATGGAAAACTGTTGTTTTATATAGAGGAAGGTCAAGACCAACGAATTCATCGGTAAATCCCATTTCTTTATAATTTTTACTTGTATAAAGTTTTGCTGATCAAAACTTTTATAAACATCTAATAACTTGTCTTATACTGTATTGTTGAGTTTCATTGTGTGCTAAGTAGATTCATTGATTCAAGAATTTATTTTACTTTTAAGTGGATTGTATGAATCGTAATAAAAGTTGAGTGTTAAAACTTTTAAATGTTATAAATAGAAATTACCCAGTCTAACAAAAAAAAAAAAAAAAAAAACAAAGATTTACTGAATAGAAAGCGCTAATATTCGCATTTTAATTTTTTTCTCTTTTTAAGGCTTAATAATAATAACGCAATTCCTCTTAATCTTACGTCTTTTTTGAACTGCGGTCGATTAATATCGAATAAATCGACCGTAACATAAATATGCTACTCGGAAATATTTTTATGATCGGCGGATTTTTCATTCCATAGTAAGAAAAACGCGTACTTTATCGACAGTTGTAAACTCATTACTCGTTAAAGAGAGTCGACAATCGACAGAGATCTAGTTTAGTTTATATCGACAGCTATAAACCGGTCTCAGATTTTCATTTTTTCTTCCTGTGTCTCGGAGAAATTTTAACTACAATTACGGGAAAGGTTGGGAAAACTTATAGAGAATATCCTTACTTTGTGTTTAAAAGCAAGGAGTGGGAATATAGCAATCTTATTGATCGTTCGTAAACCGCACAAATATATGTCGTGGAAGCGACCATAAACACGTTTGTAATTGATTCCAAGCGTTTGAAAATATGCTTAGCTTCAATCCAGCCATGGTAAAAGCACCGCAAATTAGAAATATTAAAGTTTTCTTAAAAATAGTCAAGGTAACAGGCAAGAGGTCAATGTTATATTTCCGGGACTTGCACACATTTCACATTATTTTTAGACTGTACCGAACCTCAAATGACGCCTGTCAAAATTTTGTATCATTTTGCTTAAGCACTATTGAAAAGCTCAGCACTGGCTTAAAAAATGCTATCACCAATTTTCCTTGTCGAAGATAAATATATTAGTAAACGAAGTCGTACAATGCTTTTGAACATAATGGACGTCTAAAAGATGTAGTTACATCAGAAAACATAAAAAGAGTAAAAAATGACGTGAAGAGATAAAGACAACAAAGTTCAATGCTCCGACTCTTTTGCATTAAAATTTGAGAAAGTTGTCTTCCGGTTTTACTTACGATGGAGTAAATGCACTATGATGCCTCTGCCTGCGTACGCACCGTATGCTTCAGATCTGGTCATCAGCGACTATTATTCGTTCGCAAGTTTCAAAAAATGCTCTGCGGAAAAATATTTAGATTAAACGATGAGGTCATTGTAGAAATTATAGTACTTTGTGAGTCTTGTCAAAAAATTCTATAAAAAAGAAGTATTATTATACTTGATGGAAACTATGGTGATAAATAAAGTTGAATTTCGCAAATCTTTTTTCTTACATATTTCCGCGAATTACGGACTGATCTATTATATGCCAAATTTGATTTAAGGCGAATGGACACGTTTTTCTTTTCGAATCCTACACTGCACGCTAACCCAATTGAAGCCGCCTTGTAAACAAACGAAAAATGTTTATTTCATGTCAACTAATAAAATTAATTGTTAGCCTTATTTATTGTTTTTATGTTTGAACTAGTTAAAAAATGGCACAAAACTTTGCTTTGTATACGTACATGAACTTACTTTAGGATTTAAAAGAAAAATGTTACAAAATATACAAAATGTTCAATTAAATATTGAATATAAATTTATAGTACGTTGTTCGTGTTTATAAAAATTTTCACGATTTGAACGATAACGAGCAGTCTGTCTACACATTTAGTCTTTGTTCACCGTTAAGGTGGCGAACGTTTCCAAATGTTAACAAATGTAAGTATTTTGGAGATCGTTTGATTTCACATTATTTGATGTGTTAAAGTTTGTGTTAGTTATACAACGTCGTACGGACGGAATTTTACTATTTGTAGTGCTATCATTGCTTAAATCTATTTGTTAAAACTAAGTTAAGAGAATATGCTATTAATGATTTATTAAATCAAGCGAAATCGTTTGAAGACTAATTGTGTGAGTAGACAATTCGAAACAATAAGATTTCCCCTGATCTTGACGAAATTTAAGGCAAATTATTGTTAAAGTTTCATTTAGATACTTAAAATGTACTTATCATATTTAAGGATATTGGTGACTATTTTTACTGGAGTCTACCACACTTGTCTTTTTCGCGATTGAACATGATCTGCTCGTCATCAGTGTTTTTGTAGATTTATTCTTTGTTTATTTTCCTTTTCTTATCACTTACATTCTAGGTAACATGGCACCCTATGAACTTTTTAAGCTAAGTTTCTTAAATTTAATTTATTTGCTGATAATTTGAATAATATATTATTTATACAGGTCAACATTTGTTTACTATGCGTGAACGTTTTCATATTGAATACTTTTCCAAGTGTTTGAGTTCAAAATTTACGTTTTTTATATTCAAAGGATGGACATATATTGAATTTATGATTTCAGTTATAACACAGAAATTTACATTAGAGACCACGATTTCCGAGCCATGTCTGCCTCTTCGCCCGTTGTTAGTTCTTGCGATTTTCAAAATTTCATATAAAGAAGTGCATATTTGAGCATACGATTTTACTTGATAGTTACATGTGAATTCCTCCAAAGAACACGCTTAAAACAGTTAAAATCAATTATTTATAATTAGCAATAGATATTGATTTAACAGTCTGTTTAAAGGTCCGATGAATAATTTCGATCGGCTTTTCACATGTTTGTAATTAATAAGGGAACTTTGTTAGGATGGTGGTTAGGCGAATTTAGTATATTGTTTGTTTCTTTTTAATATTATTGAAACACTTTTATATTCTCTATTGTCGCTGTGTCGTTTAGATAAGAGAATTCCTGCTGTTTGAGCCACAGCAACCGTAACATATGAAGAACAGTAAATAATGTGTTTTATATTCTGGTACAGAACGTATTTACAGAGCCTCAGAAACTCATAAATGATGTGTTCAGCAAGACGTTAAACCCACTAAAATTCAGAAGTAAACCTGGCCGGAAATTTAACGATATATTAAAGTCATTTTGATATACAATATTCATAAGGCTAATTGCCTATAGCAAAACCTAACACTTACATTTTTACTAAGAAGGTTGTTTCAAATACACCTTATGTTTATGCGAATTTTCTCAGATTCAGTCTTTAAATAGACTATTATTTATATTATATTTTTATATTTTTTAAAAAAAGTAAATAACGATTAAGAACATTTGCTCCATGGGGCAAATCTGATGTAATCATAACTTCCTCCGGTCTTTTGATCTTAAACAGTGGGGGAATCGAAAATCTGATCATTGAATTAAATAATTTATAGTAATGATACGTAAGTAAGGCTGCTGCAGGTGTTTACCACTTACGTTCTTATCATTGTAAAAGGTTAGTCCTCAGTCCGAAAAAATAAATTTTATACTGATACAATATGATATGGAGTTGGCAGTTGACTTACTCTTCATCTCGCTATTCATAGCACGTTACGTTACCTTCAGAAGAGAAACCTGATGGTGAACCGCTTTCTGAGGGATAGTAATATTTGGTGCAGCCGCCAACACTACTGCTACTATTTGGTGGTGTACTACCACTTTCCAGGATGTTCGTACTACATTCGTCCAAGTTAGTGACGTTAGCGGCTGCGGCAACGGCAGCGACTGCTGCTACAGCATGGCCCATATCTTGCAACTGATAAGCTGCTGCAACTACAGCTTGAACGTTATCACTAGGATCAGCTGGTGGACTACTTAGTAAGACCGGATGAGAACTACTAACACCGGCTGCAGTAACTAAATCGTCATGTGATGCATTGCTGCCACCAGATCCAGATCCTCGACACCACAATTGCCTCATTTCAGCGCGTCTATTACGCATTAAAATTTTGTATTCCGAAATACGCATTTTTTTACCATCAACTATACAAGTGCGTTTCGGCCGTGGTCTGTAGCGGTAATCCGGATGTTGCTCCATATGTAATTTAGATAACCGTGATTGTTCTTCATAGTAGGGTTGTTTGTCGGCGTTGGACATTGCCTTCCAACGTGCTCCCAAAATTTTTGAAATGTTTGAGTTGTGCATATCGGGACAAGCTTTTAATATTTTGCGACGCTCGTCTTTTGCCCAGACCATGAATGCATTCATAGGTCGTTTGATGTGGGGTTTGCCGTTCCCGTGACTATGACCATGACTTTGCCCGTGCCCGTGTATATGGCTATGGCTAAGGTTTCGAGCATTATTAATTCTCTCTTGGAGAGTGGAATGAGATTCTTCGATGTCAACCAATGATTGCTGTCGCGATTGTTGTTGTTGTTGGTTTTGGTGAATTTTACCGTGCTGCGGCGTTGTAACCATGTGTTCCGGCGCTAAAGAACCAGCCCCAGCAGAACTGCTCGCAGAATCTCTGCTGCTACGATTTGTTCGCGTTAAAGATACTTTTTCCAAACCATTGGAGTGAGCTAGCGCATCATTAACTCCTACAATAGCGGTATTAGTTGAATTCCACATACGGCACACTAAAAAGTTAGCTTCTGAAACATTGCTATTTGACGACGAGTGCCATTGCAATGGTGATCTTGTCACGAGTCTGGGTGTATGCTGCTCAAATTGATTTGAGAGTGAACCACCACCACAACTGTTTGGTGATTGTTGTTCGAGATACGGCGATAATGGTGGTGAACACTTTGGCTTAGACAAATTGAGAGGAGCATCGAATTCACTTTCTTCATGAAGCTCCATTTCTTCCGACGGCTGTATTGGATGCTGTTGAAGTTCAGGTATAAGCACTAAACTGTTTGAACTATCGCTGCGGGAAACATTTGCTATTGTTCTTGTATCTGATTCATCTTCAAGTTTTGATTGTGTGCGCAGAGGTGTTGGGGAATCTGGTGGCGTAGAGTTTGCAACGGCACTAGTGGTATTCAGGTTGTACAAAGGTGTCTGTGGTGGTGTTACTGTCCTCGTATCAGGAAATGGTATTTCCGAACGAACACTCTGGACCGAAAAATTCTTATTGTTGATACTGAAATTATTTGATATGTTATTATTGTACCCAGTCGATTCGCCAGAGATTATTGGAGCTGATGCACTTCGATTGGTTACCACCGCGTTGTGACTTTCGACGGTACTGTTGTTGTTGCTAACGGCTACTGCGGCTGCGAAGGCAGCTTGAATATGAGCGGCTGCGACGGCTGCTGTTGACCACATTGGTTGTATTGTCAGTTTATGATGAGAGGGCGAGTGTAAAGCATGTGAATGTAGAGCAGCTGGTAAGCCACCAGCAACGGCCGCGACAGCAGCTGCTGCTAATTGTTGTGGTGGGGGAGGAGGTGGGCGTAGAAATGCGGGTAGAAATGGTACTAATGCGGCGGAAGAAGCTTGAGGCAAATTCGGCTGTGCTGAGAAATTCTGCTGTCGCTGCTGCTGTTGTGCCACGGCGCATAATTGAGTATTAAGTTGATGTTGTAATTCTTGCAAATAATTATCTTGTTGTAGACGCTGCAGTTGCTCTTGATGGTGTTGTAAATTACTCTCTAAGTTGGTCATATTTTCAAGTTGCGTCTAAAAAAAAAAGCCGTGCAAAACCAAACCGTTATTATTCTTCTAACACTAAAGCTAGTTACTTCTAATGACATCAAAGAAATTAGTTTACTAATATTACCATAATTACGCTGCTTTCGTTCTGGATTAAGAGAGCAAAAGGAAAATTTCAACAGAAACTAATTTAAATGGTTTTTGCTGATTAAGAAACGTTTTTTACCTTAAAAGAAGTCCAATTTGTAAAAAATGTATAATAGGTTTCTCTTTACTTTACTAACTGTAACATATCACGTTAAGCGATTTGCTTTGAAAGGTCAAAATATAATATATATATATATATAATATATTCAATTCAGCAGTACTGAAGGACTAACTGAGATCTCTTATTACGGTTTTAGTTTATTTAATATGTACGAAACAGCTTGCACACGAAGATATCGGCCTACAAACGTAATACGCATAAGAGGCACAAAGTGTATACACAGCCCATGTCAGTTAAGTGAAATGTGCTTTACATAACATTGCAGAACGTGTAAGTAGTGGAGGAAAGACCACATAAAGTGACAAATAGTTTTTTCAGGCCTCTTCTTGTTGTGGGCCTATCTAGTTTTTTAAACTTTTGAGACTAAATTTTTGCTATAAGCCATGGCTTAGGAATGTATTCATAACTTCTTCAAACAGAAAGAAGATCAATTTTTCTTTTCGTCTTGATAAAGAATTTTTTAAATTTATTCGGTGTCCATTATGTATCTCGATACATTTCTATATTTCAAAGTTAATTTAATTACATTACAGAAATCTAGTCTAAAATTAAAGAAACTTGAATATCAAATTTGACGGTAAAAGCTTGACGAGTAAATAAAACATAAAATTATATTGCATAAACACATTAGCAAGGATTTTCAATAAATTAGGAAGGCAAACTCGATTTTCTGTCTGTCGATTTTGTCCCTGCCTAATTAACAGACAATGTCGCTCATAGTTTTTAATCTATTTCAGACATAAAATGTTAAATTTAAACTAAATTGAATCCTAATGAAATTAAATCAGAAGAACGAAATAAGGAACTAAAAGAGCAAAAAATTTCCGTCTGTTACCTTCTACATTTCATACTTATGCAATAGCATGTTATATTTAAAAGAACGATATGTACAAAAAAGTTTATAATTTTTACATATTAGGCGCGCTTAAAGAGTTTTGGTATTTCGAGTACAGAGATAAGAGAAAGTTCCTTTAAGGAAGGTGAATGACAACAATTCCAATATATCAGTAATCTTTCTTTTATTGATATCAATTTAAATGTTGATCCCAACATTTTTAAGAGCCTTCCAAAATGTATGGAAAAATAAATTCGAAAGCCAAAAATGATTAAAGAAAAATATCGTTAAGGTTTTAAGCTTTTCTATTTGCTAGGTCCTAAAACTTAAATCCTTTAAATTATAGTAGAGAATATCCTTATTTTCGTAATTGGCTTTTAATTTCAAAACCGCTGCAATACGTTCACAATATCGCATAGGGCAAATAAAAAGTGGAGCCGATAATGCATATAAATTGTGACCTAAAATTTCAGTTCAAAAGCACGACGAAAAGAATATCTTTTACTTGTGATTAGTGGTGAATATTAGTTTAATATTTATTACAAAAACAGAAATGATCCTGACTGATTACGTGTCCTACGTATATTTGACAATGTATTTATCACAATGATTTTAGGTGATGAGTGTCCAATATTCATTCTAAGACAAATGCAACTATCTTATTTGATTGGTTTTCAAAAACCATTACTCTCTTATAAAGGTATCAGTTGGAAAGATGACTTTTCTAGAACTGTTCATCTTGCTTATTGACGAAACAAGTTCCTTACACAATGTATGTTTCGTACGCTGTTACCGGAATTTTTCTTTTTAAAATCCTTTGTGTGAAGGTTCAGTTTTTCAAAAATAAATTTCGTTTTAAATTAATTATGCAATTTCTCCTTTACTCATATTGCAACACGAAAATTTTGCAGCAACATATATCAATTTATTGCACCTCAAAAGTTATGAACATGAACATATTGAAATTTTGCTCAAACTTGATTTACTTTACAAAATTCTTTAGTAAACGCAATTGACAATCCTTTGAGCAAGAAGTTGTTGAAGAGATATTGCTAGTAAACTAGTAGAAGTAGGAAATAATGCGAATCAAACCCATAAATCAGGCAAGACTGTAAAATTAAGAGAAACAAAGACAGCTGGTAAGAAACGCAGCGAAGGAGAAGGTAAAAACGAAACACACAAACTGCTTTTCGTTAATATTCAATAATGGAATATTCATTCCAAACTTTGGGGAAGAAGAGGTATATGCTTTACGATGTTATATGAACAAGGAGAAACAAAGAACTGTCAGATTTCAAGTGAATGGAATTGTCAGTGCCCTATGGTGTATAGGCATCTATATTTGATGATACCTTCAAGTGTGACACAAATAAATTCAAAGTCGATAATGCGGCAACGTACAGTGCATGAAGTGAAGATCAGATAACTAGCGGCGTCGAAATTATTTTGGAGGAAATTGTCGCGGAAATTACTTAGAGTATTCCAGTAGGAAATAGAAAGTAGTTTACGCCTGTAATGGACGCGGTTAAAATCGAATTTCTTTTTCTTGGATATACTGGTGTGCCTGAAGATATGCCAAACCAAAGGGCAATCGCAATCGTAACAGAACTCGAGAGAACTTAAGTTGGAACTTAAGAGGATTGTACGAACGTCACTAAAGCCGACATACTGCGAAACAGATGTCGTCACGTTACGCAAGAAGCTACAAGTAACTGCGGAAATTGAATTCAAAAATTCGAACAATCAAATTCAAGGCGCTACAGTCAAAGCGGAGGGCACCTTGGTGTAGCAAAAAGATAAAAAATTTCAACTAGGACTTCATTTCAATAGGAATCAGCAGTCAAATCATTTTGAAGCTGCAATGCATGTATTAAATGAAAAGTCTCCAAAAACGAACTGCTAATATTGGTAAATTTTTTGAGGGAATAGCTTTAAGCGTTTCCGCACCATTACTAATAGAAAGGTTAAATCGAAAAGTATCCGCAAAATATAGCCAATAACCCTATAGGCAATACCGGTAAGCCGCCTCATTCTCAGAAGATTAATACTGAGAATGCCGCTTTTATAGATGAATTTCTTAAATAAGTCAGAACTGCCGCATGTCGCAAGAGACGAGGGTGAAGGCTATATACGTGACCTAAGAGTGGACATTGAAAATTTTGTTTGTTGGAATTTCAAACACAGCTGATCCACCCCTTAAAAAAGGATTGTCACCAAAACTACAACCTTGTGGGCAACGGCCATAACACTTGCCACGAGGGTAAAAAAGATGGTTTAGTAGATCGAAAAAGATCTTCAAGATAAGTGTGAAATCCTGCGTTTAAACAAACTGAGAAGCTTACCAAAATGATGTTTTTCGGGACGAACACGGTTCCAAACAGTTTTGGAGAAGAGCAAAAGTAAAAGTCATTTGTGAATTTCTGCCAAAGCTAGATACATCCGAGAACAAAACAATTGAGGAAAACATGTAGAGAAATTTTAAGTAATAAAAGGAACTGCCACAGGATGTAGTGTTTGTTAACTGCAGACACCAAAGCATTCAACATTCAACAAAGATCCCTATAAAAACTCAAAAATTAAATCGTCGTATTCAAAAAGATTAAATTGCGATTTTTATAATTTCCTAAGTGCTGTAAATAAGTTAATTTAATTTTGTAAATAATTTTATGAAGTTAAATCGACTTGAAAGTAAGATTCTAAACCGGCCTAATCAAGAAATATTAAGATTTAACGTAAAAAAGAAATCTATGCATTTTCTGGTATCTCTGCTGACCACAGAATCAGGTTTTATACCTGCAATGATAATGGTAGTTACCATTGTCGTAAAGTTTTAATAATTTTTCTTATTCATTGCAGAAGAAGTTGCAATACAATCATACAAGAGCATTAATTTATAGGGGAATACTTTTGTTTTTGAATATACAAATTGTTTCAAGTAATATTTAATAAAGTTTTAAAACAAATTAAGTCTACTATTATAATTCTGTTTGCAGCATTGCAAATTATAAAGGTCGTTGTCAATCCTTTTAGCCACGCGTTTTAATGCACGGACTTATTAGCTCTTACGAGCACGTAAGTGCTCATGAATATATTAATGAAATACTAACTATATTTACAAAGTAAGGGAAAAAAGTACGTGCACATGTAGGTTAGTGACAAATTTTGTATAAAGCACATTTATAACTTAAAGATTTGCTTTAAATTAGTGCAAATGGTGCGATGACCGATTCGGAAGTCTTAAAAAGTATGTCGTGTTTTAACGAAAAAACCAGCAATTCTGTATTGTGAGTTGCTCCTTTCAGCTTAGAGAGAATTTTCTCACAAACAATAATAGGTAGCTGACGGCATTTGTATGCACGGGAAAGCAAATATGATTTCACTCAACATCGTATTGTAAATATAGTATGTCGCATGCATTTCCAATTTTGTTTGTACGAATTACGGGCTGTTTAGGTGATTGCAAAAATTGTACAACATAATTACATTAAACAAAAAATAGATAAAGATACGCAAGATTATTGTTTTCCAGATAAATTGTTTTAATTTTCTTTTGCACATAATGGCTGTATTTTTAAGCAAAGAAACTTGAGAGCTAAAAATTTTGCAATTAGAATACAACAAAAATAATGTTGATTAAAGTTAACGATATTCTTTATATTTATTATTTAGACTTATTATTATTATTATTATTATTATTAATTTCGTCACAGAAATAAATTCTAAGACTAAACTCTTAAAAGCACTAGCATCTAAGGCTATCGGCTTTTATTAAAAACTCTACCGCACTTGAGATTCGAACCCACGACCATTGACTTGCTAGTCGAGATTCCTCCCCTACGGCTACTCAGGCGGATTTAGACTACTTAACTTGACTGCTTCTGTTGGGGAAGCATTTAAGATACAGTTTAGACTTAAAAAAAAAGTCCATATAATTTGTAGGGAAAAGGAGAAAAACATAATAGTAACAAAGCATTTGAACACATGGTGGTTCTTCTAAACGGGGCCGTAGGGCCGTAAGATCAACGGTTTGCTATGCATGCCATGAACAACTGCAAGTTGCGAGCTTCATTTTGGAAGTCTATATCTTTGAATCAACCACACATATTCGTTTATTGCATTTTTTTCTGTGTACACATGCATCCCTTTTTGCGAGTCTGGAACGGATTTTTAGCTTTCCGGCTATAAAGTAACGAAACGGTTCAATTTTATACCTTTTTACATGTATACATTTTTTCGCCCATAATTAAATATACTTAAACTTTATATATAGAATTAATCTCGATTCAAACTACCTTATTAAGTCGACGTAAATTTCACTCTGAGATAAAATATAAAAATGATAAAGCATTTTGTTAATTACAGTCTAAAAATCATTCATATGAAATAAAAACTCAACTTTAAAATTAATTGAGCGTATTTTATCCATTTTCAAACACCAACTATGGTTATCAACTAGTAGTCTGAAAGCAAAGATTTTGCTTTTAATCTATTTTTGCCTTGAAACGGAGCAATAAATGATAGAAATATGGAAGCACATGACAACATTGAGTTAAACGTTTGGATATTATTCATGGAAAATTAGATATTATCCTCCCAAGGGAAGATACATTATGTCCGCTTCAATATATAAAGACATTCAAGCAAATATTATCCGAAATTTCGATACATAATGGATATTTATACACAAATACAAAACTATGATTAAATTTTATTACATATAAGCAAGCATGATAAACTATGTGCATGTAAAGAAATCTCTACATTGATATTTTCTACGTAGAATACTTAAGAATATGTATAGAATGCGGTGCATTCAAACAAAGCTTGATAAGAGCCAAAAGATAGATACTAAAATTACTTGCTATATTTCAGAAGAAATAGGATCTGACGATGTATTCAATCGTATTAGAGTTTTTTAAAACATAAAAAAAATACACATTAATATATTCTTCATATGTATTTGTTATGTCTATGAAAATCCGATGAATTTTTTGAACTTTCTATACTTGTTTTCTTTCATTCATTACTACAAATATTACGTAGTTTCACTCGGGAACATGTTTGCAGCTTCTAATTAAAAAGCATAACAATTAATTTAGATAGGTTTGATGTCAAGTGGAGGCATTTAACTTTCTAGTATCAATTTGAGGTTTTCTCGTTTCAAATATTATTTTTTTGTTATTGTTTAGATGCTTTCGAATGATAAAGTACAAAGAATTACTTTAAATAACGTTAAATAACATCAGCTACTTATAATACTAATACCCATGAAAAATTAATTCTAAAACTCATTTGTACGTGTAGGAATGCTTTATTTCTTATGTCTCATTTTGGTCTAGAAATATGATTGAAAGATCGTTGTTTTCAACAATTTATTTAAAACAAACGCAACAGTATAAAATTGTTGACGGTAATTTGTCACACAAATTTTATCTACGGTATATAGCGCCCCTATAGTCTGAACGTGAATCTATTAAGAAATTCATTACCAACGGTAAACATTGCGTTATCATGTTGCCAATTGCCGACACGAGAACACTCGAAAAATATTTATTTGCCTTCTACATCTGTTAGATCAAAAAGGACTACTGTTCGTTCAATATTTCCATTATCAAACATGAGTATACTCGCTAGAGACCTTTTTGTACTCAAAAAATTACCTGTGAGGGAATGCATATGTTCATTACATTAGGAATAATACAGTTTAAATAGCAGAAACTTAAAGCAGCAAGGCAAGTATGGAGGTAATCACAACATTTGTTGAGAGGTATTGTTTTTCGTTTAGATTCCACAGACGGCCTACTCGTTTACTTTTAATAGCATTTATTTAATTTATAGTTCCTAATGGGTCTTGCCCACATTTAGAATTTTGTTCATTATTTTTTAACACACATTGTTCTACAATTGTTTTTTGAAACGCATTAATAATGTGTTTACACATTATAGGCTTCTCACCTCAAGCATCATAAGTATACGCGTCATAATAATAACACATGAACGTTGTTGATCTTCTATTTTATGCTGCTTAGTAAGCAATCTTCTTGGATTAACTATTTTTTAACTTTCTTTTATTTATTGTTACGGCTTGTTTTCTCTTTTTTTATTTCCTTTTGCATATTTTGTATTATTTCTCATTTAGATGATCAGTCACAGCATTTGTAATGTTTTACATTCATATCAATAATCAATAAAACTATAATGCGCTTAAAGGCCACCAGCTAACTGACTGACTGATTAACTAACAACAGACCAAAGCAACCAATCAACCAACTAACAAATGACTATAGAAAAGTAATGGTCAAATTAAAGAACAACAATTGACTGCTTTTAATTTTTTTTATGTATTTGCATCAACGGAACTTTGTCTAAATTCGACGCGTGTTATTTTGCGAATGTGTGAGGTACAAAAAATACTATGACAAAATGCCAGCGGTAGAGATTACAGGAATCGTACACAACATACAAATACACATACACAAACACACTGACGGACATACAGACCGGCCTTACATGCAACAGCATGCATGCGTACGCGCGTGTCTGAGCGCACACGTTTGACGGCTTCGGCAACCCATTTCTCACTGAAAGGAAGCTTGTACTCTCCTATCGTTAGAGAGATAACAAAGACACCACAATCTATAGAATTCCAAAACAACTAATGCCTGATATTCTTCATTGCGATTGACAACAATGATGACGTCGTCGAATTTTCCATTACATTACTTTTCTTTTGGAGGAATGTGTACATAATAGTTTGCACCACATTAAGACACGTAAAATATAATACAATACAACTGCAACAAAAACTAGAACACTAACAGCAGCAACAAATTGTATTTACATCAAACTGTTTTGTAGTGTTTTCATTTGACTATATTTTGGAGGAGTTGTTTTAAATGTTTATTCTGTATATTCTGATTGTTTTATTCGTGGGGTTCAATTGCTTAGCTGCAAGGCAGTGAGTCAGCTGGCAGAACGCACTACGACGCATTCTCAATATTTAGCAACAAAGCTGTTAAGAATGGTTGCCCTAAAGAATGCTATTGTTGTGGAGTGCAACCGTTATTGTATCAGAGCTTTTGTGTTGGCAATGGGCGGGTTCTATACATGTGCCTGCGTAGGCGTTCTGTACTAAGTATTATGCGAATACGTGAATGGCTTCAGAAGTTTGTCATTGTGTGCACAGAACTCACGGCATTTATGCAATGGTAACCAATTCGGTTGTTTTCTATTGTCATCACACATTCAGGAAAAGTAACAGTGGCAGCGTTACCGGTAGTGTTATCATTAAGAATTGTTGTAAACAATTCTTCTATGTACTTTATTGTGTGCGTTTTTATGCTTGCGTCCTTTTAATGGCTCCACCCTTGGGTGGTTTGATTTGGCAACTGTGCGTCCTTGCGTACATATTTCATCACCAACGAAAATTACATAGTACTAGCAACACAATGAGAATAAAAAGTTAATGCATGCAATCTTGTTTTTTTTTGTGTGCAATTGTTTCATCAATTACTTGCTACACAGGCCTTCAACTAGGCAGCCAGTTAATGATAGTGATATTACATTTTCGTATTTACGTGTTTCTCGTTTGGATACCATACCATTCACTGCAAGTATACACAAATATTACAATTTTAACATACTTCGGCTTGGTATGAAACTTAAATGATCTTTGATTGTAATATTAATTGTCATCATCATCTTTGCTGCTGTTGCACTCTATGTCATTGTTGTGATGTCTCAGATGCGCGCGCAAACTGGGCTAGCCTATCAATCTGACAAATGAAACAAAAACATATATTGTGTTATCTTTAATAACAACAAATGAATGAACAATAGATTCATAGTATTAGTGGGGGAGGTTGGAGAGATACACTCTCAAATACTGTTGGCTTTCTTCCTATCCATTCACAAACATTATTTTCGGAACTACTTAAAATATAAAAAAAAATCTTACCATTTGTTATTTTTCTCCCACTTCACGATTACCTTGCGCTCCCATAAAAAAAAAAAACAAAAAAGAACACTACAGCACGAAAAGTTTCACATTGAAACCAGTGTGCGTATACCTAGAACAAACACACCCATTGTTCAGTAGCCAATTGTAATTAAGCTTTCCCACTCTCGTTCTCATAAGAATATAAAAAAAATTATGGGCTTTTACAATAAAACGAACAGTAACGCTAACCTAGCGATTTATTAAAACCATTGGTTTGAAATTTTTATTTCGTTGAAATCAATAATAACATGACGTTTTTTTGCAGCTTTTATATTAGGTTTTTTTAATAAAATTTGATCATGAATACCAAAATAAGTATTTCTTGGCATTTGGCGTTTTCTTATTTATTTAATACGTTTTTAACCTACTTCGATTTTTGAGTCTTTGTCGCGTTGATATCACTAAACTAAAAGTTGCACAAATTCTCTCTTCGGCTTTTGTTCGTTGTTCCTCGTGAAAAGAGTAAAAATGCCCGTTGTTTACTGCTGTTTTACAGTAGAGAGCGAATTTGTATAGCCTGTATGTATAAAATTATGAAATCAAACAAATATTTTCTTTGATTTTGCATGATTTGCAAGGAGATATTAGTGACATCTTAAGTAAAAAATGTGTTTTGCGTGCATCATGTGCAAAGAAATATTCGAGGATAATCTAGTAATTAATAAAAAGTAACCCGTATATTTTTTATGTGGTTTGGAACCTGTTGAGGATGCTTATAAAATTCTCGCAATTGGAAACTTGTTTTTAAAGAATAATGCGTTCTCGAATATTAAAATAATAAATTTCTGGAAATGAAATATGTCCAAGAATAACTGAAAAAGCAAAACTTTGTAAACTACAAAGGATGTCTGAAGTGTAAAGTGTGAAGCGTGTATTAGCTCGTTCGCCATAGCTGCCAATAACTTCCTCTGCCAAAGGAAGTTTATCACTTCTTTAATATTGGGTGCAGTTTATAACTTTTTTAATAATGAGTAGATAAATAGCTGGCTTTTCAAATTGTACAAACGTGTATGAGGCCTTTTAATGTATGATCGCTGTAGTTGGCATCGATTTTTTCCATTCGTTGCAACAAAACACTTTATTTCGTAACGGATGAAATTTTCTGCTCGCGCTTTAAATGGTATCAGGGATGAAATTTTCTCAAAACGTTATAAAACGACAGCTCAATTGTTATTTTTATATATAGTTATTAAATGAGTATTGAAAGATTTACCTCAATCTGATTATAAGTTCTCATTCACGCAATAAAAAGCGAACAAAATAAGAGTCTGCTTCGCATTTACTTTGCATTTTGCTATCAAATTCAGTAATGCATGAACGTTGGATTTAGTCAAAGGTATTGTTATTTTTAGTCAGTGAAATATTTCCTCTAAGGTCATGAGTATTAGCAGATAGCATGGAATGATGAACCAAAGTGAACAAGATTCATTTACATTCAAAATAGTTGTTAACTGAGATTAAACATTTGTACACAAGAATCCTTAACCACTTTTTTCCGACGCAACAGTCAGTAACACGCATCAGCAAATAAAAACAGTACATGTCATTCATAAGCGTGATATTTGTTTCACGCGGTATTCCAATAACGGTAAAAATTTAGATAGAAAAATGAAAGTTGGCGTATTTGTTAAAGGTGACAGGCAAAGTAAGTCTCAACGGTTTTACTCTCTTTAAAAGCAATCTTAGTTACTTACTTACATCTGGTAGTTACGTAGTTAGGCAGTTATAGTTAGTTAACAGTACCATTTTACCTGAAATATCTACACATTGCAATTGTTATCCTTTCGTGAGAAGACCTAGAAAGTTTTTGCTTGAACTTTTTGTTATTAAAAACGTATAAATTCGCATTAGGCTAAATCTTTTCAGAGGCCGGTTAATGGTTCTCGATATCGAATAAACTCGTAATTTCAATATGTTACTTGAAAGTCGTTGTGCGATTGAAAGACTTTTCACTCGATTGTAAGAAGAATGCATGCTTTATCTATAGCTGTAAATAATCTACTCGTGGCGAAGAGTCCGCAATTCATAGCTAGCGACTATAATCAATATTGGTAACCATAGACGGGCGCCAGACTTCTACGTTGCCTACCATCATATCCAGTGGTCGGTAAAAATAATAAAAATAATATATAATAGTAACAAATTAGAACATATAATATATATAAATATAAATTTGCAAAATCGAATCTTTATTTTATTTCAAGTGGACATGGTTAACCTAACGGAAATTAGAAGCGGTTCAGAATTTGTGCAATATGAATTCGTGTAAAAGCTGCTAAATGAAAATCAATAATTAGTTATGCATTCATATAAACATTCATATAAATAGGATGAAATAATTAATTCATATATTGGCATGTTGCGCTGGCCCATCAAGACACAAAAAAAAAGGTTACAAAAAAAATATTAGCAACAAAAAAAAGTAACTATTTTATGTTGTAAGATTTGGATTAGGAAAAACATTGAAATCAATTGTTATTTTTCAAGCGAATGTTCGAGGCCGCAATTGTGATTCTTAGCGACAGGCGAACGTAAACCACGCATACAAGTTTGATTATTTGCGTTGATAAGAACAAATACACATTTTGCAAATATAACATTCGTGACATGATATAATATGATGGTTGAACATGAACATGGATACGATCAAATGAGAAAGTAGATATATTATATATATAAAAATCATAAAAATGCGTTGTCACTTCGCTTATTAAATTTTATAACTAGAAATAAAAATTCTCGGTCGGAGCGCAAACCCTTGATACAAATTCTTTTATATATAGGATTGTGGAAGTACTGGGGAAGTATTAAACAATAAGTCTACGTATTAATTTATCTAGTTATTTCAAACAGAAAACGGGAAATATTTTTTTTTATTCTGTATAGTTCCCGCAAAGTCTTGTTAAAGTTTGTAATGAAATATGAACATAGGTTAAGCGAGTTTATGCTACAAAATGTTCTAACCACAAAGGCATATAACAGGTTCTTCTAAATAAAGTAATCTATCCAAAATTTTGTTAAATTTTAATACGCTAATTATTACTCCCCAAGGTTTATAATTTATATTTTAAGCAATAGATTGACAGTACGTTAAAGAATTTACTTATTTTAGTAATTTCAGACTTCCATACTAAGAAGACTATTTATTGCAGCAAGAAAAAAGTTTGTTGAGTAATTTCAATTTTTTTTCAATAAAAGCATTTTTCAAGTAAAAAATTGATCAAAATATATATTCATAGTTGCCAGAGTTTCCACGATGGTCCTTTGAGAAATAATAATTAATTGCATCACTCTCATTTTATATATGGTATGGTATGCAATAAAGGAAGAGGTGCAAGTATATTTGAAAACGGTTACAAATATGAAATAAAACAACTTACAGACGCCTTCCGCTTCAATATAAAATATTGATGAGTGTAAAAAGTTTGGCTCGACCCGAGTGTAACTTATCTCTCTTTCAAATGGCAAAACCCGCCACATAGTGAAAAAAGTATGCTTTTGTTTCGTTGAAAGGCTTTTATTGACTACTAAACTTAATTTAAAAGACTTGAAAATTTTTCATCATTTTCTTATCAGATAATATGCTACTTCACACAACTACTTATATGGAACGGTGATTTTTCTCCTCTTCTTTTCACTAGCTTAAGTCATCGCTTAAGTGTTCAGTGATGATGCCGTGAAA